ATGTGTTGATTAAAAACAGATCGTCTGGGTTCATAATATGAATGCGTTTATTCGTGTTTATATTATTAATTGCCATCATTTCAAAATTTGAAAAAAAAAAAAAAAGAATTTTTTTTTGCCAAATTTCTCATATCCTCCGAAATAAACATTGCTCTATTTCTAATCTTCGAATTTCATCGAAAATTACTTTAACTAATTAAAATACATTTCAAGTGTTAAAATAGTAAAATAATTCAATTCAAAACTATTGAAAATGGAAGTTTCACGTTTTCAAACGAATTCAATCTGATTATTGTGACGATCTTTTTCTTTTTTTTTTTTTCAACGAAATTACAACGGTTTAAAATATCGACAATTTTTTTATATTCATATTTATGCTTTTTATCCCATCTAATAATACAGTACCAGTAAAATAATAAAGAAAGTAAAAATACACAAATATATTTTTAATTGCTTAAACAATAGGGTACAATAGATTATTATTCAACTATTCTAATATTCGAACAATTCTACTAACCAGACATTCCATTATCTGAATTGTACATTATCTCTTCTCATAACGATGTGAACAATGGAAATAAAATTTAATTCAAAATTGATATTGGATTATAAGATACATTTGTACAGATAGATACAATTAGCGTTATAGTTCCATATCAGTGTTACTTACGTTCCTTCATACAATTAAAAAAAATTTGTGCAATTTGGCTGTTCCGTACTTTAAAAAAACACACACAGAAATTGACGATCAATTTTATTTACAATAAAATTGTTATTTCTTTTGAAGCGTAAAATAATTTATTTAAGAAAAACATTATTGCTATTTCTAAAATTCCCTTACATATTATTACCTCGTTTCCTTATTAATTAATTAGGAATAATATTTTTAAATTAGGAAAAGAATAAAAGTTTCCACAAGGGAGAGAAGAAAATTCTCTCTTTTCTCAATTTATTAATTTACAAATATTCTAAGATAATTTCCATGCAAAACTCGTGGTTGAAAATCTTGTTGATCTTCTTAATTAAAAAAGTAAAAATAAATTCGATCGATCTATTTTCCAATTCGAAAACGCCATCATTCTCGTCGTGCCTGATCATCAAACGATCCACGTTCTTAGATGTGTCCGGGATCGTCCATGGATTCCTTCCATGGAGGAATCCGCACAGAGGGACTCCCTTCGATTCGTCTACTTGACGCCCTCCTCGTTCGACCCTCGTTCGCCTTCGAAAACGAGGCGACAGGGTTTCGTTGCCCGAGGGTGGGCTCGAACAGGCATGCACAACCGGAGAGGAAGGGCCGCCATAAAGGAGAAACGCAAAGTTTCAACAGCTTCAGCGTCTTCAAAGTTTCTCCAAGTTGAGGAAAAAACTTGGTCATCGTTTTCGTCGCAATACCAAGAATCAGTTCGTTACGCTGTGTTGCTCGTATTTAGGTCATTCGTCTTATCCCTCCTCTTCTCGCGATCATTTTTGTCAATTTCGAGAAATTTCACACAATTTTTCGCAAGAAGTTGGCGAACATTCACGAAGATAAATTTTCTCTATATTCTATTTTGAAAGAACCATTGTTCTAAAAATTGTTCAATCAATCGTTAAAACTTAATCGTTATCTTAATAAGCTTATAAGTTTGTATATTATACAGTAATAGATATAAGTACAATTATAATTATAAAGGTAATAAGCGATTAGAATATGAAACTTCCGTGATATGATAATTAATTATTAGATTATATATCCATTTGCATCTCGTCGATAGTTAAGAACTTACTGTTAAAAAACGTAAGTGTTCCTTTTTGATCATTTATTCTTCTTCTTTTTCCTTAATTTATTAAAATTATGACGGAACAAAATGTATAACACGATGATTAAAAACTCAACTGTAGAATACCTTTAACAAAAAGGATTTGCTTTTCCTTCGATACACGTTGAGTTAAAACTCATAACCATTTCTTACGACAAATTTTAACAAATCTTACTGTAAAACGAGTGGAAAATACTCTTACATGAACTTGATCTACTTGTTGTTGTATTACGTTTAAATTACAAAAGAAAGATTGGTATAACAATAAATTTCCAAAAAAAGAATCCGAAACACAACCACCACCAACTGATTCGATATTTAATCCGAAACACGATATTAAACTCGAATGGAACGAGTTAACGGAGAAGCAAAGAATGAAAAACTTATTCCAAAGAATAAGAGCGCGAAGAAGATTCGTGGACGACGCATAGATTCCAACATGGAGAGAAACGAATTACAAATCATCGAAAGAAAAGCTTGTGACGAGCTTTTTCACAAAGAACGGGTAGAAATTCTCTAGAAAAAAAGACCGTGTTCTATTACAAGCTCGCGGTTGCGAGAGCAACTCGTAGGCAAACGACGCGCGCGGCCGTGAAACGAACAGTTTCTCGACCGGCGCACATACACATCCATACATACGTACGTACATACACAGCAGGTTAGGTCAGGTATGGGTGGTGTACGTTACAATCAAATACCGAAAACGGGGAAGGATTAAAAAAGCTATCTGCCGCGGGGATGATAAGAAGGAAAGGAGCGAAGAAGAAGGAAAAGAAAGAAGGAAAAGAAGACGAGCGCATACGAGACGGAGAGAGAGAGCAAGGATGACGCTTGGCCGAGGAGGTGGGGCCCGGTCGGCGACGAGCATATCGGGGGTAGGGGGGAGGGGGAGGTTTGTGCGAGTGGTCGGAAAAGGTGGATGGTTCGGTGGAAAAGAAAATCGCTGGCAGGCTATTTTCCTGCAGGAATTTTTATTGGCGGGTCCGCCATGCTGGGCCGATGGGTGGGGATAGGCGGAGGTGGCAGGGGATTGGCGGTCGCCCCGGGCAACGCATCCGTTCCGGCGTCCAATAGGACGAGGCGAGGGGGGGGACCTCGTGCTGCCGGCCGCCCGAGCGGGGCGGGAAGGGGGCGCTGGTTACAGGCAACAACCCCCTACCACCGGCAACCCCCCTTCTAAACGTTCTCCGCGTTTCCCCCCGCGGAGTCACCGGGATAACTGCATTTCGTGGACAGAATCCCACAAGAACTCACGGCGAGCGGTCGCCCCTCTCTATATAACACGGCCGACTCTCTACCATCGTTTCGGCTTTTTCCTCCACGTAACGCGTTACGTGGCAAGGACCGGACCGGTTGCCAACCGAAGGAAGGGCGCGCGGAGTCATCCTGGACCTCGTCGCTTCCACCTCGTCTTCTATCTACGCCCTTTGTCTTCTTCTTCTTCTTCTTCTTCTTCTTCTTCTTCTTCTTCTTCCTCCTCCGTCTCCGCGTTATCGTCCTCCTATCGGCCAACCCGCCAATCTTTCTTCCCCCGCGCGCGGCTCTTCTCGATCGGGCTTCCCGCACGCGCCATTTCTCGCCAATTATTTCGATATTTCGAATTTTCAAGGACGTGTCTCCGCACTTACTACGTACGTACTCGCCCCACTCGCCACACTCCTCCTCTTGCTCCTGCTCCCTTCCTTCCCTCCCGCCCCCCTCCCCCCTCCCACCCTACCCCCTTCACCCGCCCTCTTCCACTTCTAACCCGCGCCTAATTGCATCGACGGGATAATAAGATTTGAATTTCGAATCGGGGCCACGGTAGCGAGGTAACGTCCGCTCGCGATTAACCAGACCAACGCGCTTCCCCGTTATTATTCCCTCTTCCTGCTCTACGACAAACCACGTGCGTTTTCTTCTTCCTTCTGCTCGAGGAGGTTTTCTTTTCTCTCTCTCTCTCTCTCTCTCTCCTTCTCTCCTTTCTCTCTTTCGTTGTTCCCGCGTCGTTGTTCCGGATTCCACGAATATTTTTGGTTAAAAACGTGAGAAACGCATCTGTCGGGCAAAAATTTCGATCGAATTTCTGGGGATCGAAAAGAATCGCGAGGGCTCTGTCGCGACATCTCTGCGAAATGTTACCAAGCGGAAAAAGAGGACAGTGATCTCGTCGATTTGTCGCAAGTAGTAAGAGTAGTAAGAGTTTGGAAGGAAGGAAGGAAGGAAGGAAGGAAGGAGTTGGAAGGAGTGACAATTTGTATCGGAGTGCATTTTTTGGACGATTTTCCAAGATAATCAAGGATTACGATTATTTTTGCGACTTGTTCGGGGATGAGAAGAGGCTGTGAACGAGATAATTGTTGATAATTGAAGGAGGGATAACTTCGATAATCGAGAGGGAAGAAGAAAAAGAGAGAAAGAAAGAAAGAAAGAAAGAAAGAAAGAAAGAAAGCAGCAAGGTTAATCGAAATTAAGTGTCGTCGATAATTGTGTTAAAGAAGTGAACATTTCTGAACACGTGTGTAAACAAGTAATGATAACTGTTCGTAAAATTCAAAGTTACATTTTATATCTACGAAGGAATGGTATTCAAGATGGAAGCATATTAATAATTGTAAAGTAGCAGAGAATCGCTCCTTTGCTTTCGAGCAAACGTAAAATCGTTCGTCGAAGTCGCCAGGAAATATCAACGTATTCTCGACACAGTTAAACGCTGCATCAAATATTAATCGATCCACACCTGGAGGAATAATAATCGTTCCAGAAACTATTTTTCACAAAAATCGAAATAAGGAAAAAGACTCTTTCATCCCGCTATATTGCTCTACAAGATTTAGAAAAACACTTTTCGAAATTTCGAAAACACTCCCCTCATTAAAAAGAAATCAGAAAAATTCTGATGGAGATCTGAGAAAAATTTCCATCGATCACAGGACAAATTGGAAAGGGTCGAAACTTGAGGATCGTTTCGAGAAATCAGAAAGGACAAATCAAAAGATCGGTTCCTCCTCTTCAGAGGAACACCATGTCCTGGTAGGTGGTGAAAGAACGCGAGGATCATCCGGTTCGAGAGACCTCAACAAGGTCAACCCGGCATCACCCTGGCTAACGACCTGTCTGGAGGTACCGGGGGTCCCGGTGCAGGCGGCGTCGGTTCCGTCGGGGGCACCTCCGTCGGCGGCGGCGGTGGCGGCGGTTCATCGTTGCCGACGACCGCCCTCAGCCTCGATCATCAGCAGTTCAACATATTCCCGGCGATTTTCAGCAGGCAGTTGAACTTTTCCGCGGCGGCTGCCGCCAACTGCGGCCAGAACAAACTGATGGACGAGTTAAGGCCGAATCTCGGCTTGCTCGGTGTCGGCCTCGTCGAGAACGACACTTTCCACTTGAACCAAGAGAAGAGAAAGTGCAGCAGCACGAGTTCGAACGAGCAAGATTTCAGTCTTTACGGGGTGCACCAAGGCCTCGAGGCTAGCCCGCCGACACCAGCCGCCACGCCAGGAAGGAGCAGTGTCGGGGCTACTTCCACCGTTGGTGAGTATATCTCACGATATATTTCGTTATATTTATCGATTATCGATCGGTCTGCGTATACTGAAATTGCAATTGTTGACTCAATAGCTCAACGAGGCTTGTTTGTGAACTATATTGACTCAAACCCATCCCTCGAATCGAGTGTGCATTACATGCTTAGTATACGATTCGTATCGTATTTTATTATGTTATTCGACACAATCTTAAATACGTTACTAATTGAGATACCAATTTGAGCGATGGGTTTGAGTCAATGGTTCACTCACTATCGAAAGTGATATTAAAACCATGACGTGTTTCAACGGCTCGTATCATTTTATGTTAGCGGATGTTGAAATGTCAATAGCTCAGCCAACGCTGGTGATATAGTGATATAGTGTTCTAGCATCGTGTGAACTATTGGCTCAGACCCATTGCCCATTCGATCGATGCATCATAACGTGTCTCGAGATGTGTATAGCGGCTTTTAGATACACGGCCTGGTCGTCTCGCGTTATTTGCTATCAATCGAATCTATAGATGCTGAAACACGTTCCAATGGTATTGAGTTAAGTGACGGGTTCGAGTCAATAGTTCAACGCTAGAAGTATCATATTGCGATATTTAATATCGAGTTAAATCCAACGTGTACAAGTTTGCATCATTTTACGTTATTTGACATGTTTTCGAAGAGGTTTGTAGATGTTGAAACACGCTGCAATGAAGATATTGATCTAAGTGATGGGTTCGAGTCAACAGTTCACACGATATTGGAATATTGGAAAGTATACAAGATATTTAACATCGTATTAGCTTAAATCCATCCCTTGAGTCGATATATCAGAGTGTGTGTATAGAGAGTTTTACTTGCTTCCTTTATTTCGTGTTATTTGAAATAATTCCAAATTGAACTTCCATAGTCAAAAGTGACACTGCCACATCTATCATCTTCGAAATATCTTTGAAATATCTAACATTGTTAATGTTAGAACAATATTTCAATTTCGCAAATCATTAACTTAAACCCATCACTGCCACGTATCGCAACGTATTTCAATGCTTTAGAGATATATCCAAGATATTTTTTTTGTGACAAGTCAAGTAAGTACAGATAAATAAAAAGGATTAAACGTGTCTCGAGATGTGTATAGCGGCTTTTAGATACACGGCCTGGTCGTCTCGCGTTATTTGCTATCAATCGAATCTATAGATGCTGAAACACGTTCCAATGGTATTGAGTTAAGTGACGGGTTCGAGTCAATAGTTCAACGCTAGAAGTATCATATTGCGATATTTAATATCGAGTTAAATCCAACGTGTACAAGTTTGCATCATTTTACGTTATTTGACATGTTTTCGAAGAGGTTTGTAGATGTTGAAACACGCTGCAATGAAGATATTGATCTAAGTGATGGGTTCGAGTCAACAGTTCACACGATATTGGAATATTGGAAAGTATACAAGATATTTAACATCGTATTAGCTTAAATCCATCCCTTGAGTCGATATATCAGAGTGTGTGTATAGAGAGTTTTACTTGCTTCCTTTATTTCGTGTTATTTGAAATAATTCCAAATTGAACTTCCATAGTCAAAAGTGACACTGCCACATCTATCATCTTCGAAATATCTTTGAAATATCTAACATTGTTAATGTTAGAACAATATTTCAATTTCGCAAATCATTAACTTAAACCCATCACTGCCACGTATCGCAACGTATTTCAATGCTTTAGAGATATATCCAAGATATTTTTTTTGTGACAAGTCAAGTAAGTACAGATAAATAAAAAGGATTAAATCATCTATTTAGTTTAGATTGTGATGTAACGTGACTTAAAATAAATTAAAAAAGGAAAACATCCATTAATGACAAAGAGATATTGCTATGATATTTGTATAATTATTCATATAAAATTACTTTTATTAATTGCTATATATATATATATACGATTAATGGGTTTCGATAGTTGATGAAAATTGCTGAATAATGTTAAGCTTCTAAAACTTTATGAAACGCCAAATGATAAGATATCGATAAAGATTCGAAATATTTTATTAAGTTGTATAATAAAAAAACACGTTCAACAATTGAAAAGGAATGTTTTATCATATCTAATCAAACAACTGTACACGAAAAATATTTAACTGATTAATCGAAAGCAACTGTATGAGAAAAATAAGCATTGCTCGTAGATGATATCCCGAAGAAAGTATTTTCATTCGTTTCACCATAATTATTTGTTGTCTGACAAATAAATGTATATTATTCATCTGATTTATTTAATAACGAAAAAAGAAACTCGATATTATATTTAACCACGTTTTCCATGTGAACTCGATATATACAGTCAGTCACAAAAATCTTTATGTATGCTTAATTAAGTTGTATCATCAAAATTGCAGAAAATTACTATTCGAATAAAACTTTTATAATTGTGTAGATTATAATGGATTATATTGCATGGAGCAATTTTTTTTTTTTAGTGGAATATCATCTCGAAAGAATCAACGCTTAAATTGTCTTTTCCATTTTTTTCAAATGTTCAATTTTATAATGATGCGGGAAAGAAGGAGAGATTTTCGATCACTCTGTTGTAAAATATATCCCTAGTTAAAATTCAATAATGTTCAAAACATTAGAAAATTTTGAAAACTTTGAACTTTTAATTAGTTTTAACTTCTCAAAATTTTAGATTTTGATAAAAAAGATCACATAACCATAATCTTATTCTTCTCTACAATAAACTTAATCTAACGCAATAAAAACTAATCTAATAATATGCGAAGATTTTTGCAACTAATTGTACATGTATCGAACAAAATCTTGATTTAGAAATTAATGATTTCATAAGAATCAGATTTTAGGATTCTTTATCATTTTTTTTCTCGGTTATAATGCATCTGAAAGCAGTAACATATTAGTATATAAAAAAAACAAAATTTTCTCTTTTCATTTTTTTAATTCCGTATATTGCATCGAAAATACAAAGATATTGAATAAATATAAACGTTTGCTAAAAAACTTATAAACATTTATCGCAGTAAATAACAATGATAAAAATCAAGATAGTCTCAAATTTATAATAATAAGCACTTTTTATATTTTTTGTTATAAATATTATATTGTTACTTTTGTAACTATTTGGGCATAAAAAACTAAAAATATTTAATATTTCAAAAATATGTATATATATATATAAATATGTTTATAAAGATTATTATAAAATTATTATAAAGATATTTATAGAAAATTATTGATAAATAACGATAAATCTTTTTTTTTTTTAAATTTCGCACTTGTCGAAAATTTCAGGAATTCAGAATTTTTATAGAAAAGTTTTTTTATAAAAATTTATATATCGAAATTCTAATATTTGGATCTTCACATAGTGGAATTTATTTCTCTTATCTTGATATTAATTTCAAAAACAAATATATTTCGAAAAAAAACCATTCAGTTCAAAGGATTAATACTCTCAAAATAAAATCACAAAGTCATTTTCTTTAAAATTTTCTTAATAATGAATAATAAACTTCACAAATCTTGACATTACTTTTTTTTTTTTTTTGTAAAATGCATTCAAATGTAAATTTAAAGTTTGCATATGCGTTTCAAAATATGAAGAATTCCTTGTAAGTAAAATGTTAACATAAATAGGAACAATAAATATTAATTGGCCAACTCAATAATATTACCAGAAAATTTTTTGAAATTATTAATGATATCGAAAATTTTACATATCGATACAAAGGGGATAGATTAAATTACAATCGAGCAACTACACAGAGAAATAATCAAAGTTATAAAGTTCCATTAGATTATCCCATATCAAAATGATTCAAAACTAAACGATTAAACATACCATTGAATAGTTAAGATTTGTTCCACCCTAATTTGCTTGAAGCTAGCTAAATGCATTATATTATATCGTATATTGTACAATATATTGCAATATATATTGTAATTAACTATTTCAACGCCAAATTATTCTGTTTTTCTGTATTATTTTTCCTTCAAAATTCAATATAAACTATAAAAACTTTAAAACGATTGCGTTAAAGGAAGAAAACGATCTTTAACTAGTACAAAAAAATACACAATTGTAATCAGGAAGAATAAACGAAGGAATTATTAATAAAAGTGGATTAAAAATAATCATTTAATTGTAATAATTTTAATCTTGTCTTTCGATGGACAAAAATATCGTTGCTTAACATGGATTATGGCATTAATTTAAAATAGTGAATTTTCATTTCAGAAGGCTTTTAAAAATTATTTCATACATCTTTGAAAATAAATACATCATTTTACATGATAATAAATAGAAACGCAATCAAATAAAGTCGACGTTGCGATTGGATAAAAAACAAATTCGAAATTTTTTTCAATTGTATCATTTAATTGATCGAACTTATCGAGTCAAGCTTCATCATCAAGTTTTCAAAAACAAAAAGCTACAAGTAATAATCACATTAATATTATTCGCGACAAGTTAATATCAATTAAGAACAAGAAGACAAAATCTGGACTGTTAAAGTCTCTCGAGGCGGAAATGGGCAACGTGTCATCTCGATATAGATGAATTTTCCGGTTGTTGAGCCTCGAGTACACGTGTACGTCGACAATACGATCACGGTGTTGACAATGGGGTGAAGGGCTAGACCATATGGTGGTACCTGTTCTATAGGCTATTTTATTATGTGCTTGTAGGATTTAAGAGAGCTTAGCACCAAGGGCGTGTTAATGGGGGGTTCCTTCGAATCGTTGCTCCTGTCATTGAAGCGAAAGCGCGCTATATCTTTTATCCTTCTTCCTATAAATTGACAGTGACTTGTACCTAGTGCCGGAACATGGCCCAGCTGTTAGTTTCTGTTAACAAAGTTTGAAAAGTTTTCGGTTTTCAAAGCAACGGTACCGACAGAAATTCTGTGGAAAATAGTAGTAATAGTTTTTAAAATATAAGATGTCGTGGTTAAATGTTAACACGGAGATCCATCGTTGTCCAGATTAGTTGATTG